TCGTGTGCTTTGAGTTCACGTTACGTATTCGCTCCAGAACATTTTTCTGTTTTATATTTTTTATTTTAAAACAGCAGGGTTCGACACTCACTAAACATTTTAACTAGTTCTTCTTAGGGCTAGTTGATTTTGTATGTCATAGTCCTTTCCAAATATTACTAGCCCTACGCTTTACTATAAAAACTTTAAACAAGTCTTTCTTTTTTAATGGTAACTGCTGTCCAAGTTAACACAGATAAATGTACGATGTCTCATTTCATATATATGACAAAATTGAAACTAGCTTACAGCACATGTCCTCCATCAACCCACCCATGCCCATATACACCGGAGCAGGAATAAACGAATTTTGGAAGGAAAGAGATTGATGGCTTGGTTGTATAGGCAGCATGCATTTCATACACATGCCCATATACCTGTTATTAAAATTCACTTTCCTTTACACAATGGTGGTTTGTCGTTTGTAATATCAGTGATTACGACTTGGTATCGTTTCTTTTTACCCGTTAAAGCTTATTTCTATGCCTTAAACTCCTTTAAACAGCAAAGGATGATGAATTTCAAATAATTTAAAAGAGTCTGAGCTACTGTGCACATCTGTATGACTCAAGAAAAGAATATAATTGAATTCACAATCATGTGACATGATCTTGCAGTAGACCTTCTAATCAAAACAATGATTTATGCACCTATGTCTTTGAATAAAAGTATTATTAACATTACCCAATTCATGAATGACGTTTAGGTACACTTTCTCATAAAGAAATGATTTAACAAAGCACTCAAGATGGGCAAAGTCTCTCTGTATGTATTAGGTAAAGTAAAGTTTCTTTAAACTGAATAGAATAATGAAAATAAAATGAAACATGAGAAACATAGGTCTTAAATATATTGAAGAGGAATTTCATGTACTGTTCATTTGTGAATCCTATTCACAACTAAGAGGAGGTTCATTACAAAATGTGTTAAAAAGCCTTATACTGTATATTCTTTAGCAAATCCTTTCAAGAATACTAATGTAGACACTGTAAAATCTGTTGCCTTGTATCTATTTTATGTTTAAAGGTTATTATATAAAACGAACTTGAATGATCATTATTGCCCCTGACTACACTGGACTTTCCTTTTTGAATGTATTTTCGGTCTACGGCCTTTTTACTGAAATAAACTCTGTCTCTCTGTCATTTTGATCAAGAATAAAAAGACTTACAGGTAAGATACAGTTTGAGATTTTGTGATAATTGCTTAGATCATCTCGATATATCAATAACTCGACGTATATTCGGTGGTCCCACGGAAACTAAAAGTCACTTTGTGACATCTCTAATCTAAGACGATTTCAAACAAAGCTGAAACCTTTGAACAAGGAAACATAATGGAACTTGCTATGTGTTTTGATGAAGTAAAACGCCTTTGCTATTTTCTTATCACTACCTGCTTCGTAACTACGCGTTGACAAACTGTAAAGTAATCAGACACACCCGCTTCCCGACTGAAGAAAGTTTAAACATCGTTGAAGTGACTCCTTGTTTTGAAATGACGTCATAGGCAGATGATTCCTCTGGAGTTTCCAGTGACATATATATGTTTTCAAGTTCAGCTTTGCTTAGGGCTTGTGGTCGTCTGAGCCTGAAGATATAACGAAAAGGTTAGTTACATGGCTTGAACGCGCAGCTCATATTTACGTTCAAAGGGTAAGAATCTCAATACTGACAAGTATTCAATCTCTCTGATAATCTTAATGCTGAAATTTTAACTGTATATCAATGTAAGCATTCACTCTGATGACCTATTATTCTGAACGTCCGGGATGCAATGTAACAAGAAATTTTATTTTCATACACTCTCTCTCTTTCTCTCTCTCACTCTGTATGTGTCTGTCTCTCTCCTCTCTTTCTCTCTCTCACTTTCCGCACTAAATCAACGAGAATAAATCAACGATAGTTTCAACAAGAGATAATTCTACCTGACATTAAGTGTTGTTACTACAGCTAGAAAATGCCAAGAGCAACACCATTAGACAACACGACGATGAAGCGAACGTCTGGAAACAGAGGAAGGTATTTATATATACTGATATATGTTCTGTGGGTGTTGATAAAGGTTTACGTAAATGATAGCATATTAGTGTAATGTGGAAAATCACTTACATTGTCCGCGGTGGGGAAGACACATTAAAATTATCAATCACGCACCTGTCCCAGTTAGTCTTACCTGTTGCATTGCCTGTATCATCATCTTTGACTGGACTCGCGCAGTGCCTGTTGGGAAACACAAACTGATATGAACAAACTTGCAAGAGTTAAAACTTCCTTGGTGTTTATACCTCAGAAGAGAACACATCTGTAAAGAAAGTTTACTCATAAAACTGACACGTGACTTGTCGTCATGAGACACATGAACCACTGGATTACATGCCTATATGTTCGAGATTAGCATGTGATAAAATCTATCTTTGATTTAGATTGCACCAAAACGCATCGCAACACCCTAACAACCCAAATATTCTAGCAAGTATCATATGTTCTTAATATCAGTATTATTTTTTACATTATTTTACATTGATTATGCAAACGTGAATTGCTAAATGCCCTATTTCCTAATAAAGGCGCTAAAGTGTTTTTGTGTCTTGGATTAAGGCGATAATAATATACTATACAAAATGAATTCTCATCAATTGAACGCTCCGATATGAAGTGTCGGCTCAAAATATGATCATGGTATTTGAACGACGGAGACGTAAATGGGCAAAGAGTATATCGTCAGCATATTAATCGGCGAATCATATTGCTGTCTGACCTTTAACACTGGCTCAGATAGCTGCAGGCACTGAATTTGACAGTGATTTTTTTTCTACAAATGTCAGGGTATATATTATCCTGATAGCAATTACATTGACATTGCTCTGTTGTTCCTGTTGCTGGTGTTATTGTTGTTTGTTGTCGTCTGGTGCCCAGTTCCACGTTATTCCCCTGACTGTGTCACACACCTCACACTAGTTCAGACAGCTGCACACACCAGAACAGTTTCGGACCGCACGTGTAAGTCTCCACATTCTGAGCAATAGGTTTCAACAGAAGAATGTTTATGTGAAGTAAACTAATTCCCTAGGCTCTAACGTTGCCCTGTGCCTGGTGCTCAAAGAATAGGTTAGTTCCGAACTGTGATTAATCAACACTCTGTATACGAGTTCATGCTTTGCCCATATTATCAAACTATTTGAAAGAACTTAGAAAGGTTGTTGCACAGATTTATCATTATTTTGGTATCAATGTTTAATGTACATTTGGATTAATTTGGGTAAACATGATGCGATCACAAACCAACCTTTCACACACAGTGGCGGGACGTATCCTGGCAAGCATCCCTTTCACAGTGTCAGTTGACCGGTCAGCCAAGGTCCATCCTTGCAGTGACCACCAGGTGGCTGAACAGTTTACACTGTACTTTCCCTGGACACATGCTGTTGGAATAATAAACTATATCACCAGCTCACTAGACGTTTTCAAAAAGCCAGGGTAATGGACAAAAGTATCCAACGTTAAAATATTAGTTCTTGAAGCTATATTATTCGTATTGACCTGGCGATAAAATTAGAAATCAGTCATTAATTCTTAATATAAATGATAAATATTATTGAACATGATGGATTTCATATATTGCGTGTCACTGGGACCTGCATATATGGAGGACTGGACAATTTGATATTGTCTTTTGCTCCGGAATATGGATGAACACGTTCAGAATGTATATCAATTTGAAATATGGTGGGAGAATTAGCGCTTACATACTCTTTAAAAAAAGTAGCAGAGATATTGAAATACTTTTAAATTTCCAAATCTGTTATCCTACTTTCTAGTAATGGTTGAGTAATAATATTCAGTGAAGTTTAAGCAATGGGGTTTCAGGAGTAACCACACAAAGGGGACAACTTGACTGAAGACACTTCTTGTCATTCAGCTACAACACTTCGTGTGGTGATGAACATGTAATGGAGTTTTAGTGTTCATGGTCCATCTTCCACAACAGACTCCTAAAGAACCGTGTCAAACCAGCCAATTTTGAGTTAGATTTTGTACATAAATATTTTTTTATAGCATGGAAATATTCAACTTACATTAAGAACAACCAATTGTAAAACTGGACACATTACCTACATTAGGGACCAGTTCAAAGTTTCACTGTAGGATTAAACACTTACTTCTTTAGGTTTGGAGACAAGATTTTGCGAACATCACATTTGATACAAAATTGTCGAAAACATTTACCACCATTTTTTCAAAGGGAAATCAATCACATTAGGAAAGTCTTATTTAAACTCAACATTTGTCAACAACTCATCATTCAGCCATGACACAAAAGTAACCTGGCATAACCTTAGTCCTTTGCTTCTAAGACAGGTTCACCTTATCCGAGGTCAAGCGCCCTGTCAACCAGACCTTAGAAATCGCCATGCATGTGCATGTATAAACAGTCAGTGATACATTGTGTAACCCATGTGGTATAATATTATACTGAAAAGGAAATTGGGTATACACAGATCGTCTTTTTGAGAAAAGTAGAATCTCATGCCCCTTTAAAGGTCTGTTAACCATCAGTTATTGGTTTGGGATTCGAGTAACTTCACATCGAGATTGTTTGGCGCCTGAGTAGTTGAAGCCAAGGTCAGCCTCCTTACCCAAATTACCCGTGAAGTTCAGGGTTACAATTGGTCTTCAGAGCCAGGCTTGTAAAGGGCGACTGGGTGGTCAGGCTCGCTATCTTGGTTGACAAGTCATCGTATCCCACTTGCGTGAATCGGTGATCATGATGTTGATCACTGGATTGTCTCGATTATTTACAGACCGCCACCATATAGCTGGAACATTGCTGAGTGTGGCGTTAAACGACCAACCAACCAACCAACCAACCGTACCCAATTCATCTGTTCTCCTGTCAAACTGTTTCTACAGTGCAGTTAGCTTCGAAAACTTTATTATAGATTACTCAAGGATTTGTCCACATAGTATTCATGACCGGGAACAGCTAACAATGCCACAACGTTGGACTTCTTCTGCTGTTGTCATGGTATTGTGTCATTTTGTCATATTAATATTTTAGGCTTTCCCTGGTAATGTCATTTTTCCACAAAGAAGAGGTTCGGAAAGTAGCTAATAGTCGACTAATTCAAGTCTAATTGATCTTAGTATTTAACTAGTAGAATCTGGCAACTATATGTCAATAAAACTATACCTGTCAACCTTCTAGCGCCTCATAGACAGTTTTTCGTTATATGGGTTAATAATGTTCACCATGTTGTGTGAGCTCAGGGCATGCCAGTGCGATGTGGAGGTCAGCGTTATATAAGACGTCATGTTATGTGTGTGTGTGTGTGTGTGTGTGTGTGTGTTTAAGGTGTTGTTTTCAAGCAATTATGTTTTCACACCGATCATGTTTTCTAATATCGATCTATAGCAAATCAGCCTCAACAAAATGTATGTTTCTCTTGTCCATGAAGCAGCGTCATCTCACCATCCTGGCATCCAACCCCTGTCTTCCCAGCACGGCAGCCACTTGTACAGTACCCGGTGGTCTTGTCGCATACTTCTGTTTCATTCTGACACTTGCACTGTTCACTACAGTTGGTGCCAAACCACCCATCATTGCACACTGAAAATATTCAAAACCTAGTAAGCATTCACATGAGAATAACCGTTGTAGTTCCTTTGGGGGAAAATAACACACAAATAATAAGTATACAACTGTATATATGTTTATCTATAATAGCTTTATCTTACATTCATGTGGGTGACAACTGGATTTAAATATTAGCCGCTGCCACAGTAACCGCCAAACTCTGTACCGAGAAGCTGTATCGTTGTAACAATCGTATGACGTCGTAATATGACGCATGCAGTGCACGGAGTTCGAAAACCGTTCGATTAGCTGTCTTTGAATTCACTATGTACACGTTTATTTTATCGACTTTCATTGCTTTATGTAAACTATTTCACATATTGCATCGTTTGCACACTCAACTTAAACATAATTAACAATTTTTATAGCAGTTTTAAGCATGTCAGAATATGCTTCACTGATATTAAAAATCCAGTCGAGAGGCAGACGTCCTATTAACGGCAGCGGCTTATCAATATTCAAAATAGAATGAAATGATATTTTGGACATTTAACATGGTAGTAAGATAAATACGTAGTAAACTTTGTAAAATATATATGCTTTCACATCTGATCTGTGGTTTACTTTTCTCTGGGTAGGGAGTTCCTACAAACGTTCAATTATAAGTTTTATCACCAAACTGCAATTACTTCAGGATTTGATTAAAACTCACTTACATTTACAATAAGGTGTTTGAAAGTTATCTTCACATCCTTGTGCACAGACACCAGTAATTGTATTGCACGGTGAGTCATCTTTACACGAGCCACACCGTTGTGAACAATTAACACCATAGCGTCCTTCTACACAGTCTAATATGGAAAGAAAGAATATCATTGAGAAAACCACCATATATAAACGTATGAAATACATTCAGATGAAACTGTGAATAATCCTTTGTTCGTATTAAGAAAAGAAGACCGTGGTCACCTTGCTCTCGTCCCAGGACTTGACTTGACGCCATCGTTACTTAATCACAACTGTAAGCTTCAATGACTTTATTGTCAGTTACACGAGGATTTGTGCATTCAAAGTATGACAAGAAATGGCTAACAGTACCACAACCCTCTCGCTAGGACTTCTTCTGTTGTTGTAGTCTGCTTTCATTTTGTCATATGATCATTTTGTCATGTGAGTACTTTAGATTTTCCATGGCAATGTTAGTATTTCGGAAAGTGGATGGAATAGTCAATGAGTTTAAGTCTAATATAGCTTAATGTTGACGTAACCATTTTATCACAACACAAATGGATCCTAACGATACGTAAACTGACCCCATTTGGCAGCGAGCAACACAAAGTGTATAACTTCATTCCACTCCTCAATTACCAAGCAGTAGATTCCGATATTTTTAAGAGTACCAGCAAGATCACAATTTACATTGGTCTTATCAGCCACACAACGAATCACTGGACAGCATAATGTTATATCCGAAAAAAGATTCCTTGCTCTCTGAAGTGCTTGGCCTAGTGTTGAAATAGCAAGTGAAATGCGAGTTTTACTGACACTACCTTCGCAAAAGCCGATTAAAAACATCTCACTGCAAATCCATCGATAGAATGATTGCTCTAATAAACACCTGAGTTCCTCAAATTAAAGATTGCAATCCCAGTAGCTGAACTGCTTTGACCTGATCATTCAGGGAGAATATACATAATTACTTCAAGTAGCAACTCCTAAACTAACAGAATAGCTTTAGTCCTTCTTCATAATTAATCCGATACAACTTCGTTGGTTTTAAATATAAATAACCTTGTCAGATATTTCATAAAATCACATAATTGCAAAATGAATTAGTCCAAGAACCCTGGGTCATATTCAAATCGGGGAGTCTTTCACTGTCGACAATAGTTCCAAGAAAATAAAGCCGCTACAGTAACATTACCCCGAGTAGGTATTTGGTACACCATTGCAAAGAAATGGTCACCTTTGCAGTAGGGGACTCGGTAGCCAGGTTGACATCCCTGAGTGCAGATTCCGTCATACTTCCTACAGTCGGAGAAGTTGAGGCACTGGCCACAGGCAGAGGGACAGATGACGCCATAGACATACTGGACACAATCTAAAAGGATAGAAAAAATCCCAAACTATTAGAAAGGTATAACGTATTACCATGCATGTGTAACAATGTTACGTGACCAATAATTGTTGCCATTTACAATTGTATGCCTTTCTGCTGAGCCCAGAGACTAAATGGGTTGAGTTGACACTAGTTGGTAAGAGCATACGTGTACAGTTTACGTGAATATTATAGATAATACGGAGTGAGATGTTAGATACCTTGCTGACACCCTGGTCCGTATCTCCCAGCAGCACATCAACTCCTACAGCTGCCAGTCTCCTTGTCACATACTTCATATGGATCCAGACACAGACACATCTTGTTACAGTCAGAGCCAAACCAACCATCACCGCATACTGCAAGGATAATAGCTTATCTTATTCTTGCATGTCATGTGAACAACTGATAACAAGGATAATGTTAGGGCTTGTGTTCAAGATGTCGCGATTCCTTGATACCTAATGTGTACTCACGACTAAAACATTAATTCATATTTTCCAGTAAAAATTGTGATATCATCAACTATGAAATCCATATACATACAGGTTAACATATGAAAGATTCACCCATTTAACACTGTCAGCGAAGCGTGGTAGCAGTTTCACACAGTGGCAAACACACCACTGTTGTCAAATAATGCGGAGAGTGGATCTGTTCACAGCTAGATTAACCTACAGACTTTGTTGACATGACAAAGAACATACTGATGACGTGAATCTCTTCTAGAGTGTAAGTTTCTTATAATGATACTAATGGTAATGTCAATGAGACCAGTAAAACCATATGCACATTTGCCTCAACATAACAAGAAATTTACGATTTATAACGTATTTACCCACAACATGTGTCACATACGTGAACTAGTCTTATTTAAATCATATGACACATATTCACATCACAGCACAAGGGGAATAAGAGCATTTGAACAAATATATAACTAACACAATCAGGAAATACTCAAATTATCTGTACATAAAATCTGTAAGTACTTGTATGGAAAGATTCGATACCGTGAAAATTATGTTTATATGTTCAGTAGGTTAGATACTAAGTGAAGTAAACCATTGACAAAGGCCTTAAAAGATTCCTTAAAGAATACTTCGTATTACCCAGTTCTCGAAAACGTCGAACATGTATACCATTCTATCAAACTAGATCACACGTCCTTACAACACTTGCGTAATGTTGTTGATACAACAAAAAAATTAATAGAGTTTAGAACATTTTCATGCAATTCTCACCTTTACACAAAGGGGGGCTGTAACCCTGTTGACATCCCTGTGTGCAGGTTCCATTAACCTTCTGACAATCAGATGACCCACTACACTGACCACACGTGTAGGAACAGCTGACCCCGTAGTGACCATTGTCACAGTCTGTAAAGAGTGTAAGATACTCACAATATAACAGCAATAGAAAGAAATATCTCTAGATGGATACGTAATTGTATATTATATGCACGATATCATAATGACTTCAAAGGATATATTACATCACTATAATGCCACCAAATATCCAGACGATGTTTTCAGGAGCAGTATTTTCAAAACGGGCATTGCAATACACGATATCAACGCATTACAATTGTACATAACAATATGGCCATGCGCTCTATATGGTTAATTTGCCATTAGAACGACAGACTAATCTAAAGCTAGTATTAACATGACCAAACCTAACCTTGCTGACACCCTGGTCCGTGTTTCCCAGCAGCACATCCACTCCTACAGTAGCCAGTCTCCTTGTCACATACTTCAGATGGATCCAGACACTGACACTGCTTGTTACAGTCAGAGCCAAACCAACCATCACTGCAAACTACAAGGACATCAGTCTCAGTTTGATAATGTTTGTAATATACTTTCTATAGTCTAACAATGGGTATAAAACTTTATGTTATTTATCACATCCTTGTAGAACATGTTTCACTGAAACCTTGACATGCAGGATACGTTATTTTATCGTAAGGAGAGCTCGGGAAATATAGCCAAAGTCAGGAGTTGTGAGAATATAACCTCGTTGGAGATTTTGGATCTGGGGTTTGTTTGTAAATTATGATTCACATAGTCTTGAATACCTATTACCTTCTAAATTCAAAATGTGACAGTTACAGTGTTTTGGGCAAGAGCTTCTCTTCCCTTGACAGTCATCACTGTATGGATGATAACTTTGCATTGAGTCTCTGTGTTTAGCTACTTTTTCTAGTAGGGGTGGGTATTGCAGAGAATTTTCACATTGCGATATATTGCGATGCGAAAGCATATATTGTGATAAGTATTGCAATATATTGCAAGAGGGTTTTTCTTAACAATGATCTACTTATAATCGAGTTTACGCTTTATTTATCAAGCAAAAACACAACAAAGTCACATATCTTGATTAAGCTTTCATATAAACCTTCAATCATGACAAAATAAGAATATAAATAATATTTGGCACAAATGAAACAAGGAAAAGAATAATTTAACATCAATTCAGAGGTTACTAGTCTGAACTAGTTTCTCCACTCTCAAAAAAAGCCCTCAGATTTTAGACAGCAACTTGACCTGGTCAGGACATATCAGGGATCATTAGTCATTAATGAGTAAATATTTAAAACATTCTGATCCAAAACATTGCGAAACACTTGAACAAAAATATAGAACACAACTTCAAACCGAACTTAACAAACCAGTAAAATGTAAAATCTTTGAAGGGCATGTAGAAGTGGAATGCATAAGAAAAGCAATATAGAAGTTGACATCCATAAATCTTGCTTTTCTCAGTTAAATGTAATTTTCACCACTATCGTTCCCACCACCATTACCACAGTTGCCACAATCATCAAGATTTCCGAGTGTTGCGAAGTTTTCCGAATGCATGTCAAAATAACGGTTTTTCGATCCACGTATCGCAATACGTATCGTTTTCATGTCTGAACCGGTTAATACCGGTAAACCGGTTATATTGCGCAGCCCTATTTTCTAGCATGTACTTGGTTTGCCATATGAAATCACAGATACATTGTCAATCATGACCTGTTGATTGTATGGTAGTACGTATTGTACTATATAAATTCGCAATTCAAAATTTTGAGATGTTACCTTTGAACCTTATTCTCTAATTTAAGCTTTAAAAAATGATTGTATTTAGCATTCGGACGTTCTACAAGTATCCATAGTGTGGATTGTAAGGTTTTGGGTAAGACTTCACATTGACACTAATGAATATGCCTTTACAATACAACTTCATATAGTTTTTCCTAACCTTGGAATTGTTTGCTGTTTCACCCAACAGAACGCAAGTAGGAAATGATTTTCTAAACGAATCTGGAAGAATTGCCCTAAAAGCTAAATAGACAACATCTAGCTCTTACTCAATACATTGGTTGTAATTCGAAACGAAGTGGTGAAACGTGGACATCATTGAAATTATTACGTGATTTAATTGTTTGTTTCACCATATGGCTTTTTATTACTGTGCTAAAGTTGAATGTCTACTGGGTATCTTTCACTTCCAGACAATTTAAATTGTCAAAATGAAAATGTCATAAAATTAACTTCTGTATATTTATTTAAATCTAGAAAAACGTGATTCAGTTTATACTGTCAATTACATTGTAACATAGGCCATATGACCCACATTACTGAATAAAATTTTGTCTGTCTGTCAGTCTTTTATCTTGGGTAATAATATAGCTGAATTGATTTAATTCTCTCATTATATACCTTGCCTGCTGTCAACAATATCATGATAGCAAACGAACTATCG